CGATAAGTCGGATCTCTCGATAAGTCGGATAAAATCTCCGCCCCGATGAGTCCGACTTATCGAGAGTGACTATGTACTAATTTAATAAATTCATTTATTTGTGGTACATTTTCTCAATCATTTATAATTTAAATAACGATATCGTAGAAAATTTATTTTATTGATTCAATTAGTATTGATGGATAGTAAATGGTTAACAAATTGCCGTGCTTGTAGGAAAGTGTCAATGCCATAATTGTTATCATTTACATTAGCGTTGACAGCTTCGGCAAGCTGAGAGTATTGGCTTTCATTAAGAATTAGACTAACAGGTAATACATTGACAACAGTATCACGCACATTATTATTTGGAACAGGACCATCTAAGTCTATACCATAACTATCATCGTTTTGGAAGGTATCATCAACAATGTCTCTATAATGTCTCCAATTATTACGAATCATACCCTCACTCAATATTTGACGTGGTGAACGTCCACTTTCTGTACGTATGCCGTGTTCGTTCCAGCCTTCCGTAAACGCATTTAAGGTCCGATTTATATGTGGTTGGTATGTGTAATGAAGACAATATAGATTACGTTCATTTTCAACATTGAAAGCATAATTCTCTTCCAAATGTCTGAATATCAACAAATACAACCTTCCGACAACGCGATTTAAATCTTTCCAAAGTCTTTCGATCCTTTGATTGTGAACTGATGGACCATATATGTGGCTGCCACGATCAGTTCCTCGTGTTTGTAACATATGTCTTGCCACCTCTACATTTTCTCCTCCCCGATCGCTTCTAGTTCGTAATGGCCCATTATGCCACTTGTTACAAGCATCCAGAAAGTACCTTAAGACAGTTGCAGCCTTATTGTTTGTACTACACGCCAAGTATGTAATAAGCCGTGAATAGCCGTCAATGCATCCATGTATTACGAATTTGTACCTAATAAGTTTATGGTTGCCATCCAAATGCCAAAGCGCATTAGGGCCTGAGACATGATATTGTCTTCGAGGAATTAGAGATTGCCATCGTTGTATTACACCATTTGGATCCACGCGATGAAGGCTTTCGCGGACTCGGGCCCGATGTACTCTAACACTCTGCTGCAAAGTGAGCCCATCACCAAAACTTGACCAGAAAATGGCTGCACAGTCTTAATCTCTCTCACAATTTCATCTAATTCTTCATCTGTGATTGTTGTATATGGATAATCATCAGGAATCTGCAACTCTTTCCGTCGTCGTCCGAGAGTAGATACGCTTACACCAATTAAGCTGGCTATAGAATTCCAATTAAAACCCTGTTCTCTCAAAGCTCGTCCCCCCGATGGTAGTTTTATTACGAGATCAGGAGTAGAAAACGGTTCCATATCTTTCAATCCAATAATCTTGTTCTCCAATTGCGATTTTATATCCATAAGTTCGTTAACCCTAACCCTCGTCAACGAAATTAGGACTACAGCTTGGTACTTACATAAATTCTTTGTAGTTGTAGTAAGTTGTGCATCAAGCATATAAGAGAAACTTTAGTAGCCTGCTAATAGAATAGTCTCAGATTTCGCATTTCCATCTCGCTTACCCACATATGTTGTATGTATTACGGAATCACCTTCCCAACACCCTCCCAACCATTCTCACAATCATTCTCCCAACCACTCTCCGAATC